TTTCAAAAACTTAGTATATTATCTTGTTTATATAGTTTGTGTCATTTTTGACATGCTACAAAATTAATAAATTGATATAATAATCCAAGTAATTTTTGGTCATGTATAATAATCTACAAAAAAGTTCATATTTGCTGCTATCAATTTAATTAATACCAACTTCATGAATTTTATAAATGCTTCTGTCACAGTATTTACAAATTAAATCTTATTTTATAATTAATAATTCATAATAAAATTCATATAAAATAGCTATTAGTAAATTCATTAAAATATGATGAAACTTTGTAATTAGAAGCTAAATAATTTTCAAACATGTTATCAAAACTGTCATTAAATTTATTATCAACTTTGAATTCTGATTCATCATTTTTAACTTTGGATTCAGATTCATTATTTTTAGCATTAGTATCATTTGATATTGAATTTTATTGATTATTGCTTAAAGTCATAATTTGATTTGGCAAAATATTTTTAGTTTTTTATCAAATAGTAAATTTTTGATCTGCTGAGTTTTTAGTTTTTGTTTTTTAGTATATATGCAAAAACTGTTTATGGATTAACAAGTAATTCATTGCATTTTCACAATTGCAAAATAACTTTTGTTTTTTTAGGTTTTTTTTTGAACTTTTACTAAATAAAGCTGATATTAAATACTCCCTTACTATTTTAATTGACGAATATTAAATATAAAGTAACAAAAGTCATCATTTAATTCTGAATTGCCAAATATTAACAAATTTAATATAGAAAATTTTTATTTAATAAGACTAAATAATGAATATAGCATAACAAATTTAAATATAATAATATCAAATAATGAATTTTTAATATAAAAATATCAAATAAAAAATTTTTATAATACAAAATAATGCAAATAATAATATAATAAATGTGAAATTATATAACAAAACAATATATAAAATTTTATATAAATATCTTTATTAATTTAATTAAAATTAAATTTTGCTCAAATGTCTAAACAATAAAAAAAACTATCTGATTAAATGTTTATAGAGAAAAGTTATAACATTTGTTATCTTTATAACCTTCATAACATTTTTTACTATTTCAACAATTATTTTCATTTGTTATATTAGAAAAGTATACAATAAACACTAGTATTAAAAGTTCAATTTCTGTAATAATAGCTGAATTGTTTAAAAGAAGGTTATTTCTTTTATTACTTGAAAGCTTGATGACTAAAGTTGCATAAGTATCAAATTCTAAATTGAAGTTTATGACTTGAACTTGAGAGAAAATAGAAAAAGATACAATTTAAATTATTTTTGAATCATAAAATCTACTTTTACTAATTTATTGATTTATTTAGAAAATGAAGAGTTATGTATAAAGGTGAATAAACTAGAAATAGCAAATGCCAATTTGGAGGCACAATTAGTTATAATAGAACATATAAATAAAATAATATTTCAATAAATCAAATCAGAAAAGAAGTATATTCTAACATAAATCAGTATTAGAATCAATAGTAATTTTAGAAACTATAAAAGTGATATCCAAATCTCAAAACCAACCTGATTTTAAAATCAATCTAAATTTGAATATCAACCCAAACTTGAATATCAATTTGAACCTAAATACTAATTTGAATCTGTGCTTGAAGCTGAAATTATATATATAATTTCAGATTCTGAAAATATGCTGAATATATTAAAGAGCTGAAAAATTCAACCTAAAGAAAAGAATAAATGTATCAAAAAAGGTAAAGATATCAAAAAGAACAAAATAATAAAAATAGTAAACCCTCTAGAAACTGTTTATAAAGATAAAAAAAAGAAGAAAACAAGGGCCAAAATAAGATTCTGGTAAAAACTATCTCTAGAAAACTTTAACTAAGAGTAAATGAAGTTTATTCAAGTAATATAAATAATAAAATATTAAGCAAGTTAATACCCAAATTATTAAAATAATGGTTCACATTTTAATCCATTACAAAAGCAGCTGAACAATTGGTTAGGTGCTTTATATCATTATTAAAGAGAAAGATATTGAAAGGCACAAACATAAAAATTAGATACAAATAATCATTGCTTATATGCAAATAGCTAATTAAATGAGATATAGTTAATTAATATTTATGTTATATTACTTGTATTAATTTTTATCAAATAATAAAGAAAAAAGTACAAAAAATCAAAAGTGCACAATTATTTATTAACAAAAAATCCAAGAATATTGCAAGATATCAAAAAAAATTAATTGATATAGTTAAAGAATCAAAAGTTCATTTAGCTAAAAAAAAGTGAAACTAATTCAAAAAACAATAATAAGAGAAGAATAAACATATATGACTATAGTTGATATTTTGATAAGATATTTTTTAATAAATGATTTTATATCAAATAATTAATTCATTACTAATTATTTTATAGTTGAAAGATTTATTGGAAAATTTGAATGAGTATTCAAAGTCAATTTAACTATTTCAACTAATTTATAAATAAAACTATAGTAAATTTTATTGTCACAATATAACTTTACCAGAAAACTTATCAAGTTGTATTTGTAAATTAGAGAATAAAGAGCAAGAAATAGAACAAAGTAAAAAAGATAAACAATCAATAAAAAAATATAAAAGACAAAGAATATTTAATTATAAGAAATCAAGTATTATTTAGAGAGAGAGAAGCATTAAACTGAAGAAAGTGCATAAATGGATGAAATTTGGGGCAATATTAAAGAAGAAAATCAAAAAAAAATTACAAAAAGCACAAAAAATATATAAATTACAAAAACTACAAAAAAGCACTCCAAAGCAAAGAAAATTTGATATTATAAAATCTTCGAGAGTTACAAGAGCCATGATAAAATCAGCAAAAGAAAAAGATGAAAATTATAAGTAAGAAGATTCAGATAAAAAAATGAAGAAGGAATTTGGTAATAATATGCAAACAATTATCAAATAATTAATTAATAAATATTTAGTGAATAATTAATGAATAATTAGCAAATAATTATTTCAAATTTTATATTTTTATATTTTTAATAAATTTATCAAATATTGATTAAATTTTGTTGAATATTATTATAAATGCAATTTTTTTATGGAAAATATACAATTTGATTTTACTAAAGTATATAATGCTAAATGATTTTGTCAACTTTATAATTAAACAACAAAAATTTATTATGAATGCTATAATTTTTATTACAGAATGTTATAACTTTATTGTCAAATATTTTTTAACTAGAAATATTTTTTTGCCAAATAGTTTTGTTGTCAAATGTTATAATTTTTTTGTCAAATTATTGTATATTTTTTAAGTACCAAATGGCATAAATTGGACCAAACAACAAAACTTCAATATAAACTTTTATTAATAAATTTGGATTTAATCAATTGTAATTCAGCAGCTGAATAATCTAATTTGGACTAGTGTTATTTTTATTATAATATTCAATATATCCTTGTATAAGAAATTATCTCTTTTTATAATATTACAATAAGTAATAGACTAATATATAATATATATAGTATAAAAATATTTATATTTATATATTTTATATATTAATAGTAAACATGCAACTATTATTATTCTTATAATAAATATTATAATATAAAATAAGTTTTATCTTAAAATTAAAAAAAAATTTAATAAGTTTTAAAAAAGGTGAGTTTTTATTAAATAAGATTTTAAAATAGATTTGAATAATAATTGTACAAATATTTTTAATTCAATATAAAAAAATACTTACAAATTATTATTTTTTTTTATTTTAAATTAAAATTTTAAAAATTTTTTATATTATATATTTACTTATTTATGTAAATTATAAATATAATTTTTTAAAAATAATCAAATTATTTTATAATGGATTTATAATCGAGGCATAACATAAAATATTGAAATTTATTAAATAAACCAACTTTAGTTAACCAAGCAAATATATTTATACTAATAAATTATTTAATTTGACGATTTGTTTTTTATTTAAAATTATATATCACAGCATAACTATTGCATAAAATTTGAAAAATATTTCTACAATAAATGTAATTCGTTATATCGGTTTATATAATAAACAAAAAAAAATTTATAAGAAATTAGGATTATAAATCCCAGTCACCAGAATGACACAGTATAATTCTACATTGGCATTGGCCGCCATTCGACTGGAAAATTAATTATAATGATTTTATAATTTTATAATTTATTGATTATTACTTTATTTATTGAATAATTGCTAATTATTTAATAAAATTAATAAAAAGCAATTTAAAACAAATTAAACAAGATTAATTAATTGTATGTTATTATTTGTAAAAACATTAGTTTTTAAAATAATATGAATATGAAAACTAGTCAAAAATTTAAAAATCTTCGTATAAATATAACCCGTAAAAATTATGATCAGAAGTTGTTTAAAATTGGCGAAACTTTCACTATATACAGTATATTCCATTATCTAGATTCTGTTTGCTCAATGTACAAAAATAGATATAATTAATAAAGTAAAAGATTGTTGTGTAGAACTTTTACGTTTAAAAGAATTTTCGTATTTTTTTGAAAATCCCTGTGTCGGATTTTCTTTTATACAGTATCAAGTAAACAGGGACCCGGAAATTTTTGATGATTGTAACTACTTTTAGATTATTTGTACACAGTTTCTTTTATTAAGTATTACAGTACAGTAAATCCTTTGGCATATAAAAAGGTGGGCTTTGCGTGATACAGTAATTACATTAATAAAATTTGTAAAACGACAATCTTTCTAGAAATTATATACCACAGTAAATGTTAAAAATATCTTTTCATAATTTCTTGCTCATTTTTAATTCAATCAATAATTTCAGACCTCAATAAAAAAATTAGAAATATAGTACAGTAAAGCTCGACAATGCGTATTTTTTAGGACTTGTAGAGAAACCTACAGTATATTATATCAATACAAAGAGTAGCTTTTAAACCCCAGAAAATCACTAGAAATAGAACCAGATAAACTGACGCATTAAGAAGTCGTAAGTATCCTATAAAATGTCGAACAAATATAACAGATCACTTTTAGATCTCAATAGATTACTGGAATTAAAACCAGATGATGCTAAAGCATTGAGAAGTCGCGGGAAAATCTATGGAATGTTGAGTAAATATAACGAATCACTTTTGGATCTCAATAGATCATTAGAAATAGAACCAGATAATGTTGAGGCATTGAGTAACCGTGGAGTAACCTACAGTATGCTAAATAAATATGAAAAGTCACTTTCCGATCTCAATAGATCATTAGAAATAGAACCAGATAATGCCTTTGCATTGAGAAATCGCGGAGAAATTTATAGAATGTTGAATAAATATAACGAATCACTTTCCGATCTTAATAGATCACTAGAAATAGAACCAGATAATGCTTTTACATTGAGAAATCGTGGAGAAACTTATTGGATGTTGAATAAATATAACGAGTCACTTTCAGATCTCAATAGATCCTTAGAAATAGAACCAGATAATGCTTTTGCATTGAGAAATCGTGGAATAACTTATAGGATGTTAAATAAATACAACGAATCACTTTCAGATCTCAATAGATCATTAGAAATAGAACCAGATAATGTTTTTGCATTGATAAATCGTGGAGAAACATACAAGATGTTGAATAAATGTAAAGAATCCCTTTCAGATTTTAATAGATCACTAGAAATAGAACCAGATAATGCTTTTGCATTGAGAAATCGTGGAGAAACTTATTGGATGTTGAATAACTATAAAGAATCACTTTCAGATCTCAATAGGTCCTTAGAAATAAAACCAGATAATGCTTTTGCATTGAGAAATCGTGGAATAACTTATAGAATGTTAAATAAATATAACGAATCACTTTCAGATCTCAGTAGATCGTTAGAAATAGAACCAGATAATGTTTTTGCATTGATAAATCGTGGGGAAACCTACAAGATGTTGAATAAATATAGAGAATCCCTTTCAGATCTCAATAGATCGCTAGAAATAGAACCAGATAATGCTTTTGCATTGAGAAATCGCGGAGAAATCTATAGAATGTTGAATAAATATAATGAATCACTTTCAGATCTCGATAAATCTTTAGAAATAGAACCAGATAACGTTGAGGCATTGACTAATCGCGGAATAACCTACAAAATGTTGAATAAGTATGGAAAATCACTTTCAGATCTCAATAGATCATTAGAAATAGAACAAAATAATGCTTTTGCATTGAGAAATCGCGGAATAACCTATATAATGTTAAATATGTACAACGAATCGCTATATGATCTCAACAAATCATTAGAAATAGAACCACATAATGCCATATCATTAAGAATTTGCGGAGAAATATATATATTGTTAAAGCAATATGGTAAATCAATTTCAAATCTCAATACATTATTAGAAGTAAAACCAGATGACGCTAACGCACTGAGGAGTCGTGCAGTAGCCTATAAAATGTTGAATAAATACAATGAATCAATTTCCGATCTCAATAGATCATTAGAAATAGAACCAGATAATGCCTTTGCATTGAGAAATCGCGGAGAAATTTATAGAATGTTGAATAAATATAACGAATCGCTTTTGGATCTGAATGGGTCATTAGAAATAGAACCAGATAATGCTGAGGCATTGAGAAATCGCGGAATAACCTACATAATGCTTAATAAATATAAGGAATCGCTTTTAGATCTCAATAGGTCATTAGAAATAGAACCAGGTAATGCTTTATCATTGAGGAATCGCGGAGTAACCTATAGAATGTTAAATAAATATAAGGAGTCTCTTTTTGATTTTAATAGATCATTAGAAATAGAACCGGATAACGCAGACACATTAGGAAATCGTGGAGAAACCTACATGATGATAAATAAATATAATGAATCACTTTCGGATCTCCATAGATCACTAGAAATAGAACCAAATAATGCTTTCACGTTGAGAAGTCGCGGAGAAACATATAGAAAGCTAAATAGATATTATAAATCACTTTCAGATCTCAACAAATCTTTAGAAATAGAACCAGATAATGCTATCGCATTGAGAAGCCGCGGAGTAACCTACAGGATGCTAAATAAATATAAAGAATCACTTTCAGATTTTAATAGGTCATTAGAAATAGAACCAGGTAATATGTTTGCAATATGGAACCGTGGAATAACTTACAAAATGCTAAACAGATACAAAGTAATGGAAATAAAACACTTTGAATCAGAAGTTCCAAATATCATCCCATATTCTCAGTTCAAAGACGTTGAATTTCTAAAAGAAGGTGGTTTCGGGAAAGTATATAAGGCAACTTGGATTAACAACTCGAATGAAGTAAAAGTAGCGTTAAAATGTTTAGACAGCTCAAAATATCATCAAACTGTAGCGTTCATAAAAGAAGTAAGGTCATTTATATTATAATTATCTAAAAAATAAATACTTACCTCTTTTAAACATATAAAAATAGGTAGTATCATTAGAAATTATAAGTTCGGAGAATTTTATTTTGCAATATTATGGAATTGGTGCAGACCCTAACATAGGAAGCTTTTATATAGTAATGGAATACGCTGAAGATGGAAGTCTGGAGCAATATTTGCAAAAAAAGTATAAAAATATTACATGGGCGCAAAAATTAGAAAAATTATTTCGTGTTGCAAATGGGTATGTTATTTACAATGTTGGTTTTTTGTCACCCGTTTTAAATTGTTTACAAGTAAACGTTAACTTAGGTTCAATACATAGATTAGAACAAATACACAAAAATGGATTAATACACTGTGACCTACATTCTGGAAATATCTTATTGGGAGTAGGCGGAAAGAAGGATTCAGTTAAGATTGGAGATTTGGGATTATGTCGAGAAGTCGGTTATGATCATAAATGTCACATATATGGAATCTTATCTTATATAGCACCTGAAATCTTTAGAGGGTCGCCTTATACACAGGCATCCGATATCTATAGTTTTGGAATGATTATGTGGGAATTTACGACGGGGCATCGACCATTCCCATTTCAATCCCATGATATAGAATTTATATCCAATATTGTTGGTGGATTAAGACCTAAAATTACTAATGATACGCCAAAAGTGTTTTCTGATTTAATGGAAAGATGCTGGAATTCAAATCCATCTGAGAGGCCTACAATAAAGGAAGTCAGTGCACAGTTTGGTAAATGGTGCTGGGATAAGGAAGATCTGGATCAATTCATTGATGTTGAAAAAAAAAGCAAAATTAAAATGACGCCGCAAGATTATGAATTGGAGTTGGAAAATAACAAAACTAATTCAAATACATTTTACTCTTATCAAAGTAAATTTTTTGATACAGATGGTACGTATAAAATATTAAATATTTAGGTACCGAAGGTAATATAGTTAATTTGATTAACAACCAATGCTTATTAAATCGTAAAAATTTAGGTAAGAATTTAATACAGTATATCTTTGTTAACATTAAGTTTTAGCTATTTAACCGTAAATCTTATATATTAGATTATAAAACCATACAGGACAAATTAATAATTGACTTCTAAAATTTGGTGATTGACCAACAGTACTGCTGATATTTTTATTTTTAAATATTTTATTTTGCAAATGACTAATGTAGGTTTTAAATATTCTTAGGCTTTATCACGTCTCAGAAGTTCAGGTAAAGGTTTATTTAAACATTATACCAATTATTCTTAATTTACCATTAATACTACTGTTGACAAGTATGATGATGCATCATAATTGAGGCTGGAATAAATTTAGCATGTGGGATTAGTAAGTGGAACAAGAATAGATAATAAGTGTCAGATGATTCAGTAAGCATAATATTATTTTTCTAGATTTATTTTTTATTGTTTATTTCTTCCTATACATTTATTTATAGGCTATATGTATAATTTATAACAAAATTTTTTGGAATTATTTATTAATTTATTTTTTAAAACCCATTGTATAGAAATTAATAAAAAAATATATCAAAATAAAATTGAAAAGTTGGAAATTTTATTAATATAAAATTAATAATTAATTTTTTCACATTCCTTTCAGTTATTATTTCACATCTTTTTTTTATTGAATCTATAAAATTATTTAAAACCCTATTTGCAATTTTATCTCATTCTTTTATTATAAACTATTCTAATTTTAAAATATTTTTAGATAACCTTAATTCTACATTTAATATTTACAGGTTTGTATGCATAAATGTTATAACTTTACTTCTATTTATATATTGGACTATATTGAGATTTCTAAATATTAGCTTTAAGCTATTTGATTTATTCTTATGTCTAGACTGAGTTAAGAAATCAAAAACTAATATGCCAAGGCTCCATTAGTGTTAGTAAATAGTGTATATATATATAGTTGTTTCTGCATTCTGTTTGTATTTTGCAAATTATTTTGTTATCTTTTCTACACATTTTGCTGCTTTTTTTTTTCTTTTAGGTTTTGATCTTTAGTCTTCTTTTCTTCTGTTGCAGTTTTTCTTTTTGATTATTTTTTTTTCTTTTCTTTTGTACTGTAATATCATTTTCTTTTTTCCATTCTGCTATTTTTTTACATCTATTTTTCCACATATATTTTTCTACTATTCCTTTAGTTTTTTATCCATTCAGTTTATAATTGCTTTCCATATTTCTGTAACTCTTTCTCTTATTTTATTTCTGATATACTTGATTGTTTTTTTTGTGAATACTGTTTTTGTTATTTTTATTCTTGTATATTCTGAGTTTATGATTTTGTAATACTGGTAATATTATTCTTTGTGTTTCCATTTTTTTGCCCTGGCACTGCTTTTCTGTTTAATAATTTTATTATATTCATTAATAATATTTTCTTTCCAATGCTTATGTATCATGTACTAATATGTTTTTGCTTTGCTTTTGCAAATTGGACATGTTGCTATTTTGCATATGTCCAATCTATGCTCTGCTAGCTTGTCAAGAGTTGGGAATTTTTTGTTAAGTATTCTATAGTGAAAGTTTCTATTTATGTAATCTTGCCTATCTGTTTTATTGCTTGTGATTGGTGTTAATTTCTGTGCTTTATATATTATTTTCCAATCTATTTCCTTTTCATACTATTTGTCCATACCATGTGTTAGTTCTGAATTATTCATCTTGCTAATTATCATGCATTTTGTTGTCTTTTAATAAAGCTGTTGATGTTTGTGTCTAAAATTATGCCTTTCCAGGTTATACTGAAATATATATCTTATATTGTCTGACTTATTTTGATTTTTTGTTTTTTGCTTCTTTATACTTCTTCTTTAACTAACTCATATGCTTTTCATTTTCCCTGATTCTTATATGTGCCTTTATTTTGATTAGGTTTATCATTCTAGTTCTGTCCTTAATAGTCTTTTTAATATATATGATTATTATTCAATTGGGTATGTGTGTTATAGCTTTGTTTTTTTTTTTCTTATTATATTTTATATAGCTGCTTTGCTATCATCTGTATGTATGTTGATTTCTGTATCAGTTGGTGCACATTTAATTAGGCTTAGAATTACTATAAGTTCTGCTCTAATAAATTATAGAAAATCTTATACTTTTGTTAAGAACTTTATTTCTTCATTGATTTTTTTGTTGATTACTATTTATCTTATTTCTATTTTGTATTTGTTTGTATCTATTTTTTCTACATATTCACATGTATAAGCTTTTATTGTTTTCTATATTTTCATTGTCTTTTCTCACTTTCAGCTTGATTTTGGTTTGTGTATCTATCTTTATTTCTTTATATGTTTTTGTATTATCCAGTTCTCAGTTTCCTTGGTGTTTTTGCTCTTATTTAATACTTTAGCTTTTCTTGTTCTTTTTTTGTTTTGTATAATTTTTTGAATATTGTTTCAGATAATAAATGAAAATATCTGAATTCTTTCTAGTGTATTCATGATTTAATTATATATCTTTAAACTTTGTTCTATTTTGATTACTAAAACTACTATTGTGTTTTTCTTGTTAATTATTCTTATACATATGTTGTTTTCTTGTTTATTGTGTCTGCATTCCATGCACTTTGTAATAAAGAATCTTCAGCTATTCACATCATATATTGTACTTGGATTGTGCTGCCTCATTCCTTCTTTTACCTGTTTTTCTTTCCAATATATATCTGTTGATTTATTGTTATTACTATTGTTAGCAGTAGGATCGGGTATAGGGACGGGATCGGCGCGGGTCACGTGATGCGGCGCGATGCATCAGTTCATGCATTAATGTGGGGAGGAAAGTTTAGGAAGTCTGTTGGAGATTTGCATGACGCGATGTAAGATTGGTGGACGCGTCGCAGGTAATATAAATAGAAGTAGGATTAGAGTAGTAGTAAAAAAAAGAAGAGTCAATTGCAATATAATTGTATAACCAAACCTGTATTCGCGCAACGATAATTAATAAACTTACCTTATTGAGATACTTGTCGCCTAAAGGATCCGGTAGTAGCCAATATTGAGTCTATTGGTGAAGGATTGTGCCAGAGGAACAAGTGGGAAGAAGGAAAGTTAGAGAATTGTCGTGCCAACAAGTACCTTTGGTATTGCAAGCGACACGACCCCTACGTACCAGCAAACGGCAAGCCTAGTTCCGGAGTGGTGACAGACTTGCCGGTACGGATAACACTATATATTTCGAATTTTTAATATTACAGTTTTTTAATATTTTTAGTTATTAGATTGTATTTTTTTTTTAAACACTAGCTGGGCCTTGTCCTTTATACTTTATTAATTTTAAGTTTTTACATATGTTGTTAATACAATTATGTTCTAACTATAATTCGTTTGTATAGAGGACTATATCAAGTTTTTAGGCCAAATATTGGCTTTGGGCTATTTGATTTATTCTAAAACCTAGGTTTTTGGAAAAGTGATCAAAAACTAATATGCCAAGGCTCCATTAGTGTTAGTAAATAGAATGTTTGAGAAATTGTTATGCTTTTCGTTCTATTTGAATTTGATGTACCATTTTGTCATTTTTCTTGTCCATGTTTTTGCTATTGTCTCCTTCTTTTGTTTGCTTCGTAACCTAGTTTCCTCTTTATTTTTTCCTTGCTGTGAGGTCGTTTTTGTCTTCTTCTTATTTGTCATGATGTTGTGTTTCCTTTCCCACTCCATTGCTTTTTCACACCTTTCCTTCCACCACTTTTTGATTACTTCTTTCATATGTTTTGTTATTGTCTCAAATGTCTCTTTTACTTTTGTTCCTACTCGACTCTTGATGTATTCTGTTGTTTCTTTTGTGAATACACCTTTTGTTATCAGATTTCTTGTGTGCTCTAAGTCTATAAGCTTGAAGTTTGCTTGATTCTTTCTTGTGTTATTTACTTTCTTCTTGCTTCTGGCACTATTTCTTGTCTAACTGCTTTGTTGTATTTCTCAGTGATCTTTTCTTTCCAATGCTCGTGTATGAGGTGTTGTAGTGTT